GAATTAATGAATTTGAAATCCAACAGACAATTGCAGCTACCGGCGATTACACTCATTTATCTACTTCTATCTTTGGCTTCTTGCTTGCCTACCGGCCAGTCAGCCAAACAGCCAGCGAGTGCATCTGTCGTTTAGCTGAGTAGATTCCTCTACACTATTCCGGCTCTATAGAGTTGGCGGTCACCAGCATTTAAACAGTTTAGTGTACCTCATATTCATATTGGGGCACAGCTGCACAGGCTCCATGTTCAAGTGATTGCAATCAATATTTAGTTTTGAGTTACATTTACCTGGCTGGTTGGCAACTAGGTAGCCGATATAAACTGTTGTTTTTCGGTCAATAGACCTAGTCCTCAATGGTCTTCGGTTGGAATTGATTTGAAACAGCAGCCATTGTCGACATCAACAGCCGGAAGCTATTGCAAATGAAATACATTTCATATATTTTCATTGAATGGTAAAATATGATTTAAGGTTTGTTGTTCGGATTTTTGATTTCGACAAACAAATGAAATGTGTATTTCAGAGCCAAGCTAAAAAGTTGGCCTAAAAAATAAAGTATTGCGGCGCGAATACAGTAGTCAATAAATAAGCTTATAAACATTAATGTAGTAATTTGAATTTCTACTTCAAATTAGGACTAATTAGGAATCTGTAGGGTTAGATCCATATGGAAGGTCCATAAATGGGAAACTTCTGTAGACCTTGTTTTCTTAGAGAAAACAAGAACACCATAGAATACAACTGTAATAATATTTCACAGTAGACATGCAGTGTATTGCCCAGATACATTTCCCGGTTACATTTCTTGGTATTTTGGATCTCAAATTGTGTCTATAGGTCGATTAGGAACATACGTAAATATAAACGTTTTTAAACCCCATAAATATTAATCAATCATTGCCGAAAACCATAGGTGTCCTCCTCAAATTTCATCCGAAACAGAAATACTTTCCTAACAGTATCCGTAAAATTTGATAATGTATAACATCCATCACTATAAATGATATCAATTTAAAGTCAACAACTCCTCTTAGATATGTTGGAAATATATCTCGATTTTATATTGCGGGAGTAAACATATACGCTGTAATGTAAAAAATTTGTAATTTTTTCACACACGACTTTGTCAATTAGACACATTAATTATTGACCGATCATAATCAAAACAGCCATACTTATTCGCTGGTCAGTTTCATTTCTCCTGTAAAATTTTGTAAACTGTACATTGGATCCATATCGATCATTATACCCAGGCAAAAACAGGCAAAAGAAAATGAGATGGACACATGGTCCTTTTGAAAATATGCATAGAATCACTTTTGGGTCGATTTAGGCAGGTCCGTCCGCCTGTCTGTCCATGTTAAATTGTAAACAATGTTTATGATCCTTATTGGATGAAATTTGGCACAGCTCATTTGTTTGTCCAAGGACGAACCCTATTGAAATTGGGGAGAATGGTTTCCGATTTAGATATAGCTCCCATATATATTTTCGTCCGATTTAATGTAAATGGTGTACCAAAGTCCCTGTATATCTGCACGAAATTTGGCACAGCATCAGTTCAAATTTAGGTATAGTTCCCATATATTTTCGTACGATTATTTATGTTAATGGTTTACCAAAGCTTCTATATTTCTTTCCATTTGTACGAAATTTCACATAGCGTACTGAATTGAGTCTTGATAGATGTGTGCTAAGTTTCGTAAAAATCGGTTCAGATTTAGATATATAAAGTACCGAAGCTTCTATATTTCTTCGGATTTGCACGAAATTTGGCTTAGCCTACTGAATGAAATCTCCATTGATGTGTGCTCAGTTTTGCGAAAAATCGGTTCAGATTTAGCTCCCGTATATATTTTCTTCCGATTTTGTGTAATGTTCTGAAGTTAATATAAATTAATCTCTGGCAAATTTCGTTGAAATCGGTAATACTTAGCTATAGCTCCCACATATATTTTCTCCCGATTTTAGATAAACTTTTAATGTTTGTCCGATTGACACGAAATTATGCACAACGTACCAAATTGAGACAAGACTGACATATCTTCCATATATATTGCTAACGGGTCTGATTGATATTAAATTTTGCACAGTGCCGGAAATTTGATCCATTGTACGCAAACGACTCTAAATCTGCCCGAATGAAATAAAATATAGCATAGGTTGCAGAAAAGCGGATTGCAGAAAGGCGGTTGTATGGATTGATGTTAGTTCACATATAGATAAATATCACATATTTACATTCGACATAAAATAAACATTGACATGAAATTGTTAGGATACATATTTAGAATATACCCAAAGTGGTGAAGGGTATTATATAGTCGGCCGACTTTACAACTATCCTTACTGGTTTAATTTAAGAAATTAATGAACAAAATGAAAAATAAATAAAGTAAGTTAAAGCAGTGAGCGGAGCAGTATTGTCGGACGGGACCGACCATACCATACCCTACACAAGTACCACAGAACACTAACGTCCTGCGGATTTTTATTTCTAGCGTGGCCATTAGAGCGATTAGAGGTCAACAGCACCTCTTCCTTAGGCTGACATACTTTCCGAATATTACTAATTTCTTGTCCATATTCCCTTCACCGTGGATTGTGTTGTGATGTTCGTCTTATAACTGTGGCCTATAGATCAACTTGAAAAAAATACTTGTTTGGCTTCACTTCATCCCAAAATTAGTATATGATCATCACCGAAAATTATAGGCGTTGTTCTTGCCCATAACTGGAACCTCAGGGAACATTTCAAAGCGATCCGCGCAATATTTCCGCCCTCCAGTGTGGAAATGGTTTTTATTTCCGCCCTCCATTGTGGTTATGGGTTACTAACTAATATCTGACATCCAACCACTCCTCTTGGATATACTATCAACTTCTCTATGTCCTTCAGGAATACAAATGTTGTAATTTTTCACACAAAAGTCAGAGTCCATTTGACCCGCTAAATATTGATCTACTTTTATATCAAAACAGGCATACTTATTCCTTGGCCCGATCCCCTTTCCCATGTAAAAACCAGTAAGGAAAGTAGTAAAGTCGGACAGGGCCGACTATATGATACCCTTCACCACTTTGGGTATATTCAACAGATGAATCCTAACATTGTAAATCGATTTAAAGCAAATATCAATCGGACACCCGTTGATTATTTGTATAAATATCTGATAAACATGAGAAGATTGTTGCACCATTTACTTAAAATTGGACGAAAATATTTATAAAAGCTATATCGAAATATTAATTGATTTGATCGAAAGTTGTCATAGGTTAGGTTGTACAAATTTCAGTATGTTTTGTGCATATCGACCACACTCCCAGTTCTTGGTGCATCATTTACTTGACACACATCATTCTAGACCTAATTCATTAGGCTGTGCCAAATTTCGTGCAAATCGAAAGATATATAGGGACTTTGGTGCACCATTTACATTAAATCGGACGAAAATATATATGGGAGCTATATCCCAATATAAACCGATTTTCAGGAATCTTAACACACATTATTCTTGACCTAAATCATTAGGCTGTACCGTGTAAATAGAAAGATATGTAAGGACCGTTTACATTACATCTAAATCTGAACAGATTTTTCCCAATTTCAATAGGGTTCGTCCATGGGCCTAATAAGTGACCTATGCCAAATTTCATCCAATTCGGATCAAAAATGCGACCTGTACTTTGTTCACAATTTAACATGGACATACAGTAGGCGTCGTCATTGGCCAGGACCTACATGCAATATTTTGTGAAGATTGGTCCACAACTGTGGCCTGTATCGTGTTTACAAATAATAATGGACAGACGGACGGGCACATATGTCTAGATCGACCCAACTAGTCGAGATATGACGATCGGTATACTTAAAGGACAAACTTTTAGGGCTGAACCCTGACAACATAGTTGTGTAGGGTATAAAAATCGACACTCTGGCATTTTGTTATGCCCATTATACCCGTTATTTGATTAAATTGAAAACATTAGGCGTTTATAGTGTTCCAGGCTGGAAATGAAATGACCGGGACCGGGAAAAATGGTTATATATTTAAAAATCACTTACATTGCTTTCTATTGAAAGTTTAAGTATTTTTTAACCTTTTGGGAACCCAATTAAAATTTTAATTAGTTCCTGTAGTTGAGAGCACAATATACACATTGCCTTCACGCATATAACTCATATTTTATTTCTTATGAAACTTACAGCAATTTTGAGATGAGTTATATCTTGAAATCTATTTAAGGACGGCCTGTCTATCTACAGTCACGGTTCCTATATAGGGTTACATAAAATCGATTTGTGCCGTCATGTGGTTGCAATACAAAAAAGTGGCACGGCGAATGTCCTATCAAAACCTCATTTAAGCCGGTCAAAAAGGCGATTCTTTAAGCCGATGTGTGAGAACTTGCATTGGCTCATGATGCATAGTGATTCGCATTCTCTTATTTTTGTTTTTTTGTATTTCACCGAAAACTTCTAGATAAAAAATTGTGGTGTAATTGACTTTTCATCCACTCGGACACAAGATATGGGTTTGTTTCGGGCTCATGTTCATAAAAATGTACTGTTAGTGGAGCACTGCGATCTTATATATTATCTTTGGTACCAATCGGTACCAGTCTTCTTTTGTTCATTCATGGCTTCACTATTCTCCTAACATTAAATATCGCACCAATGTGTTAATTTCATTTTGTAGTCATATAATTTTTCAAGTCACTGTATAGAACACAACACATGGTGGTACGTCAAACCGTACAAAGCATGTTTTTGCTAAAATGGCTAAAACTATCATATGGAAATGTCAGGTGGCAGTTTGGGAATTAAGTTAAAAATAATTTCGCAGCATTTTTCGCAACGCCTACATTAAAAAATTGTAAATCCCCAAAACTTAATAACATAATAGAAAGTATTATTTTTTCATACAACTTATTATTATTCTCTTAAAATTATTATACGTATTCCTTATATCTAATCTCTAAGACAATCCATCGAATTACCAACCATGTTCCTTTTGGACAATATGTTTATAAATTGTATAGGGGACAGGATATGGTTTGGGTACTGCAATTTTTATCTGTTTAATAACTTCCACTGGATAAGGTTTTTCAACTTCAACAGGGTAGGGTTTCTCCACTGTATAGGGAATACGTTTTTCTGTAATCTCTGGTACAATACGATATGTTGGTACTTGAATTTCCTGCTGCACGGGTACGTGAACAGCATATGGTTCGGGTATTTGTATTCGAATAACATTGGGCACTTTCACCGGTACCGGGTGGGGAATATTCAGAGGAATCTTTTCAATAACTTGTACCGGAACGGGTTTATTTACTTCAGAATATGATTCCGCAGGTTGATAATGTTGATGATGATGTCCTACACCGGCTGATAACGACTGATGTGGATCTGAAAGGGATAAATCTTCTGTGTCAATGTGAGAACATGTCACATAGCTGAAGAGTACACTGGCAAAGATTATCAAGGAAATGTTCTGAAAGAAGAGAAAACATGTTAATATTTATAAAATGAATTTGTTGTTGGCACAAATAAATTACCTTCGTTCTAGCCATAATGTTGTCCTTTTAATCTTAGTAAATATCCTGTTATTTATAATCCTTTATTTGCCTTTTAGCCACTCGGTTGTGTTATGTATGTACGCGCCGTCGTTTGACTTAATACTGTAACAATTTTTCCAAATGGCCTTGGCTTTTATTTGAAAATGCATTTTATTCCTCTTTCTTTCCAGGGCGCCACACTCACCCAGCTGTAAAATAGAAGAAAAAGTGAAAGAAGCCAAATCACGGCCTTACAAATTGTTGTAAGTATTTTTTGTGTGATTTTTTTTCTTATTTATGTTGTTTTCTTTGTAACTCTGATCTGTTTAACCATAGCCAAAGGAAAGGCATTCATTGTTCCTCAAAAACATCGCCACTCACTTATCCATTCAGTCAGCCAGCCAGCCAACCAGCGAGGCAAGTCGGTCATTATCGTTATGGCATATTGTGCAATCGCTGCCTAATATTATATCACCTTAAAATGAAAGTTCCCTTTTGATTTTTATTGTTGTTATTTTTGCTAATTTTTTTTGGTTATTCATTGTTATGAGGAAATACTAGACAGTGGGTTTTTTACCATGTTTTTCCGTTTGTTTTTTCTCCACATTGGAAAATACACACACAGATCAAATAACCAACGACATTGACCACAGTCACGGCCAGCGCCCTCTCACCTGTGTGTGTATAGCGCTGCTGGTAATTCAGTACGAATGTTATAAGATTTCCATCCATGAATGGTAATTTGTTATACTTATTACAAATATGTTTAAATTATCTGCAGAGTTGCCAGAGTTTTCATTTTAATTAATATAACTGAGAAATGAGCAAATTTAAGACTTCCTAATGATCTTCTATAATTATAGTCCTATATATCTCAATAATTTTCTATATATAGAAGGCATCCCAAAGGTACTTTACACCCTAAGAGCTGCCTCATCTGCCTGCGCATGATGACCATTACAAAAGCACAGATCCATACAAAAGCAAGGGTAGTATAGGCGTCTTGTAGAGTATGAGTTTGGTCTGGCGAGAGATGGCATTCTTTTTGAATTGCTTAATCAGACCATAGTAGCATCTGTTCTTCTACAGATTTCAACATTTATGGCGGTACCGAGGTATATAAACTCGTGCACTACCTCCAAGATGTAGTTTTCAATTTCCACAGTTGGTCCTAGTCTACTGGACGTCTTGCGCTTTGATACCATCAGTTTTGTCTGCCAATCCCATGTTGGCAGACTCCTTCTTAATTTGTTTAAAGGTTTTGTTACCGCTTGCAATGTTCTAATTATGTCCTTTTCTGAATCCTCGTTCGGTATTGAAAGGCTCCGAGATGACTTTTCCGACGTTAGCTGCTGACCTAACCAGTTAAAGTTATCCTGCAAGTCTTATTATTAGGTTGATGTGTATGAAATGTCGGATTCTTAAGTGATTGTATAAAACTGCATATCTTTCTTCAAAAGCTTCAATACACTTCTTCCAACGAGATTTTAAAGCGTAGATGTCTGTCTTAAAATATTCTGGTCTTTAGAATTAATAAACTCTGATATCGAGTTTTTTAGATTGTCTTCATTTTCATAGTATTTGCCCCTTAAAAACAGCACTATATGCTTGAAAAAAATGAAAATCGGTCGGCGAGAGATCCGGTGAATATGGTGGATGCTGCAAAACTTCATATTCCAGTTCGTTCAGTTTCGCAATTGTTTTGTGCGATGTATGCGGCCGAGCGTTGTGATGGAGCAGTAGCGGGCCATGCCGATTGACAAGTGTGTACAATTTTTAACCTATCGTGCATCTCATCAATGTACTGACAGTACTTTCATCCTGATAGCAAGTTCCCTCGTGGATACGGCTAGATCCGGTTCCACTAGAGCCTTCGGGTCATTATTCTTCACAGACGTTTTTGGGTCTTCCGCGCGGCTCATTTTGCAGTGAAAAATCGCCAGTCCGAAATTTTTTGAACCAACGCTGCACTTTCCGATCGTTAACTGTATTCTCCCCAAACGCTTGGTTTATGTTGTCTTCCGCGCGGCTCATTTTGCAGTGAAAAATCGCCAGTCCGAAATTGTTTGAACCAACGCTGCACTTTCCGATCGTTAACTGTATTCTCCCCAAACGCTTGGTTTATGTTGCGCTATTATCAAGTTTGTACTCATATCAAAATAACTCGACGTCGACAGAATTCATATCGGCAATAAACTCAAAAGAAATAGCGAAAGGGAAGACCTCCAAGAAAACCTATTTTGCTGAAATGAGCCTCTGGCAATGAGGTTACGCCAAAGACAAAAGAATAACGAAAACAGAAAGAGAAACGTCCCCATGTAAAGTGGATCCGACATTTCATGCGCACCGACCTAATAATTTTGCAGGAATGCCAAATGCAGACACCTCTAAGCGGGTTGGGCTGTCGAATGCGGCTTTAATGTCAACGAATAGGTGGAATTTTTCGATGTATTTTTCGTGGGTCTTTTCCAAGATTTGGCGCAGTGTGGAAATCTGGAATATAGTAGATTTTTAATGTCTGAAGCCATTTCCAATCATTGGTTTCAATCATTGGGCATGCATTCCTCTAGCCAAATTATATTAATTAGTTGTCCACCGGTCTTGAATAGTTCGGCTGGTAATTCATCGGCGCCTGCTACCTTATTATTCTTTAGCCGATAATTGCTATTCTTATCTCATCATGGCTAGGTCTATACCGTCATCCCCTATTGGTTCTGGGGTATCTTCTTCAGCGCCACTATTTGATACCAGAAGCTTTTCAAAGTGCTCCTTCGGGATCATCAACACGTTGTCTGTATCTGTCACCGGGTTTCCATCTTCATCTGTACAAGAGCATGTACCTGAGCCAAAGCCTTCGGTTTGGTGTTTTAGTCCTTGGTAAAATTTCCGGACTTTATTCTGACTCCTGTACATCTCGATTTGCTCACGCTCACGTTTTTCTTGATCTTTCTTTTTTTCTGAAAATACGACACTCCTGATCGGTTTTGACAATTTTATTCTACCTCCACAGAAAAAAAATCTTAATCAATGACTTCGACTTTTTTATACGTTGAAGCCCATGTAAGGATCTCGACCGATTTTATGTTGGAAAGTACAATAAGTTGGTCCCTGCCGAACATAGTTACGCTTTGTTTTAAGTAAAGGCATAAACTTTTACCCCTAAAAATTCCACACCCACACCCGAAATAACCCTTTCAACTCTATCTACACAAGTGTATCCACAAATTTGGATCCCCTTTGGGTCCTGCTTACTTTTACATGGTTTTTCAATGGTTTTGTTACATATCCGAGAAATTAAATGTCTTCTAAATATTGTAGTTCACCCTGGAGCATTTCACACATAAAAACCTCGAATAGGCCTTCTAAAGGTCTCCCACATATAATAACACCTTTTTTTTTTGAAAAAAAGAAATCACAAAGATCATATAAAATGGACCCATAGAAAAACTCCTTACATTTTATATAAACTTCCAACTCGCGTATAGAGACTTCCCTGAGTTCATTTCACCTACCTTATATAAAGGCCAAGACTCAACTCGCCCTCCCTGGCTTCAACTCGCCTATAAAGTGTTCCTTTGTTTACCTTTCCAATTTTCGGCTAAAGTGGCTCACTGACTTTAACTCGCCTATGATGGCTCTCTGGCCCCCGACTTCAGCTCGCCTTTAAAGACTCCCTAACTTCTGGTCGGCTATAGTTCACTCCCTAGATACATGTAATCTATAAAGGCTCTATTACTTTGAATCGTATATGAATAATCTCTATTTTTTGCTTACAATAGAGCCTACGCGGTTTCTTTTCATCTATAGATGTCCCCAGGCAATATCTTATTTTGAACGACTCTCTGTCTCAGCTCGACATTTGAATATTCCCTGCCTTCTCATCAGAAGTATTTTTTTCTCTCTGAGTTAGTCTACAGAAGACTGCCCATATATAAAATACATCTGTCGGATTTAACTGATTTATAGAATACTCCTCGTCTTCTATAGAAGATCTACTATAGAATACTTCATATTTCGTCTAAACAACACTCGTCGGTCTCAGCTCCACTATAGAAGATTCTTCGATTTCAAATTCCTAATAGATTCCCTATATTCAGCTTGTCTTTAGACGTCCCCCTGGCTTCAGGCCATCTTCAGGTTATTTCATCTATAAAAGAGTCCCTGGGTTCCAGTCGTCTATATAAGCCCCCCTAGTGACTATAGAAGACACTCTACTCGCACCTATAAATGGTCGTATCTCCAGTTCTTTCACGGGAATTCCCTTAAACTATTCTTAACTAAGAAACCTATTTTAAATTAAGTACAAATTACAATTTCATTGAACGTGGCAACTTTGTGCACGTCCCGATGTGCACAAAAGTTTAATACACTTGCCGCAGAATAAAAAACAGTAACAACAAAAAAACTTTCAACGCCCATTATCATTGCCCACAAGCTTTGAACATTCATCCAGGCGTATACACTTGCTGTTGTGCGATATCATTCAAGCTATGGCTTACAATTTTGGTGGAACAAGTGTTCGCCGGCACTTTCGGAAGCCTGAGACATTCGGTAATTTGATACAAAAACGTGCTTCACTACCAGACAATAGAGAGTTTAAAACGTTTTGTTTGCGATTTCTTGCTTTGGTTTTCCTTGTAGGATAATGTGTTGAAGGTGGAAAGGTGTGTGTGTGCGGCGCTAAATATTAAATACATAAATGGAAATCAATAAAAAATGATGTAATAAATAATGACCTAAAAAATTGGGTTTGTTGTTAAATCCAATTCAGGGAAGTGAAATGATAAATGTATTTAATGGAAGTGGAAGTGGGACAAACTTGATGGAATAGAGAATTAAAGGTGCACTACACTAGAGTAGCATATTCATATTTTCCAAGGGTGCTGGAGGGACTTCCTTTATATGGGACTGAGTCAAAGGACAATTTTTTATCCTGAGACGAATTAAGGTCAGCAAGTTTTCTACAGACGTATTGAAGGCCTGAAACCGACCGGAAGCTTGGAAATCTTCTATAG